ATGCTCCCTATCCCAGATATTGTGCTGGGGAGGCAGTCCTACCCGTTGTGCAATGGGTGAGGAGGGTTTTGTTACTGCTTTTAGAAAAGGCAGGATTAGGATTTACTTGATTAACTCATGCAGAGGGAGTGCAATTATATGCATAGCTGAAGCAGGGTTGGTTTCTTGCCTCTCTTGCATGTTAGTGGTGCAGCTTTTAACTATCAGATGACCTTGGTCTCCGAGAAAAGTGGAGCTGTGCTTGGCACTATTATCTGCAGCTGCTGGGCTTCAAAAAAAGGCCTGTGGAGGTTTTCTGATCTGTCGACATCTAAGTCACTCCACTAGAGTAAAACTAATGCATAGAATTCATTCCTATAAGAAGCACGTAAGTAACCATACATATTTTTTGATTGAAATACTTTACAGACAAATTATACAATTCACTGCTATGTAATATTGATGGGTTTCCAGAAATGTTGATTTCTGCATTAATCAGCATATCCCTTGAATTTCCATTTGAGGAGTTTAAAAGAATCAGTGCACTGAATTAAGTATTCCATGCTTACTGTAATGAAAAAGAGTAACACAAGTTATGTATAAGTTGACTTTTTCTGTCGTTTATAAGAAATAATATGGTCCTGTATCATAAAAGAGGGACAATATTGCATCATGTCGTTGTAAAAACAGCTCTGCTTGTTCATCTCCCAGTGGAAATAGGTTAGAAAGGAACACTGCTGAAATGAACCTTCCAGGACCCTATTAATTGCATCAGGTTGGGTTTCTAAATAGAGAAATAACTAAACTAGTGTATTAATGACGTGTCGCTAGTAATCTTCAAATCAGTAGCTGAAAAATGTCTCTTTTTCTCATGTAGCATTCGGGGGGGGGGAGGGAAGGGGAGGAGCTTCAGTATTGTGTGTATCTTGTTGTGTTTATATTTGGCTGTTCATCACACCTGCAGTGTGGACTGGCTTTGGTAAGACATGATACCAGTCATGACTGTTGAACTCAGTTGGATGTAAATCCTGCCTGGGCACCCCCTCTCTTCACAGTGAGATCGGTACATGCTGATATGGGGCATAACTGATGTGGTGAAGCACTTTGAGGTCTTTATGGAAGATACTTCTAAAAGTATGAAATGAAATAACAGTTACATAAAAACAGAAAAAGCATATTTAAGAACTCAGTCATCCTTTTATTTTGTCTTGATACTGCAGTCATTAATAATTTATTAGAAACAACCTCACCTAGGTCACTGTTCCTTTTCACAGCGGGTGAATCAGTGGACAGAACTCGAAATCTGAAACAGATTTAACCACAGAGAGGTGCCCTGAAACTGAAACAGCTCATCATCCACGTCAGCACTGGCTGAAGTCTGGCTTTAAGTCAGACTGATGCACAGGAGCATGCATCCGTACAAAATAACCTCTGCTAAAACTGACAGATACATGCAATTATGGAAACTTGGTTTGTGTTTCACTCCTCACAGTAAATTTCCTTAAAAATGCAGCCATTGTAAGTATTTGGGAAGAAAAACCATAGCAAAATCCTGAAGGTTGTTCAGAGGACCAGAACTTGTTACAGAGCTTTCCCATGACGCTGTAATTTACAAACTACTGAACACTTGCCTCCAGGCAGGAGGAGCCCTTTGAGAGCTAGAGAAAGGGTGGCTGGGAAGCACGGGTCGCAGTTGTGGAATCGGGCTCCTGTTCCATCTACAAACGCTTATGTGGCTAAAACCCGTCTCAAAACAGGGTCTGGCAATGCTTCGTGTGCTGTATCAGTGCCCACGAGGACAGCAAGATCTGTAGTAAAAAAGCTGGCACGGGGTTGAAGAGGGCTTTTATTTAGCAACTGGACTTGATGGTTAAGTTCCAGTACAAGCACTGACTAAAAGGTGTAAAACTGAGTTTTCCCTATTCTAAACTCTTTTTACATAAATGAATGAAAATGGGGACCACAATACACCACATGAAGGAAAGAGCCAAGTATGCCTTTTTCCTGTGTGAAGCAATATTCAACAGAAGAAATGTGTGTGTTTTTCAGTTAATGGTTCAGCTTAGGTCTTGTGACAACAGTTGCAAAATCTTCAAGTGACTTTACTTTTTTTTTTTTCCCTACACTTTTTCATACAATCGGTGACCTTGTTGAGTGGATTTGGAGAGATGAGAACAGCTGACAGTTCGAATGCTCTTATCGCTAGGGTATTTAAAAGGGTGGTTACAACCTGCAGGGGATGATACAAATTGAAGGGTGCTTGGTAACTGCCATTAACTGTTGTAACTCGGTGTTCGTAGTGGTAGTTGGGGAAGCATTTTACACACGTGTGTGTGCCAGGAGACAACAGCTGCAGAGCGAGCTAAGGTCTGCAGAGCAGAGGCGGTGGCCATCCAAGTGAGGGCTGAGAACTGACTGCTCAGCGGGGAGCAGCAAACATGGGTGTGGGGGGCTTTGCCTGCGCTGCGTGTTCACAAGGGCTGTGGTGAACTTGCCAGTGTAAAGAACATGTGAGACAGCCTGTGAAAGCTGCCTGTCCTTGGTAGCACAAGTGGGGATTGCCTTCAGCTTGGCTGTGCAGGCGCAGAGCTGCAGGCGCTGTACAACAACGTGGAATGGTGCAGGATCCGTCACTTGTCTCACAGGGCTTGGGTTCAGAGGCAGGCATCGCTGGCTGGCTGCTAGTTCTGATGGGACAGGTGGGGAGTCATGGCAGGGTTCACACAGGTAAAGGGAAATGAGAAACCTCGGGAGAGCTGCTGCAGGAGTACTGTTCAGTGACGGGAAGAGGTTGTGTTTCTCTAGGGGATGCAGTTGAAGAAGGGCACTTCCGCAGCCTTCCCTTTATTCTTTGGCTAAAGCAGTGCCTGTTCTGTCTCAGCAGTCGGCAGTGAGCTGTTACAGGTGCTACCTGGAGAGTTAATCGCTGTTTGCAATTTGAGAAGGGCACTGTTCTGGGATAGCTTGACCTGCTCTCTTCTGGGGCTAACTGTTTGTTTCCCTGTTACTTAACCACCTCGGTGATAACAAAGCCAGGCACTGTGGCTGCCGCTGCCCAGCTGCTGATGTAGTGACGTGCGCTCACTTAGTTGGGCACTTCTACTGAAAGTCGGGTATTTGTAGGAGGTTGTGGAGCACGTGCATGCTTCAGTGCTTTTAAGAAGACCAACCTAAGCATGTTATCGTACACATTTTTAATTGAAAGTGCACGACGTGTGTCAACAGCAGGGGTGATTCATGGTACAGAGCTTTCTGTACTCATTTATGAAATGCTTAGCTGTGGTTTCAGCTGTTAGTCAATATTAAGTAATGCTGCTGCCAGGAAGACTTCAAATCTTGAATTTTGCACAATTTCTCATTTAGTGGCAGTGAGAAAGCAGCGTGTCTGTCTGGCTGCTTCACAAACCTGCTCCTGGGTAGGACTGTTGGTTGTAGTGCAGCAAAACAAAGCCTGAAAACTGCTTCCCCATCACTTTAATTCTTTATAAGGCTTCCTAATGGGATAGATCAATCTACGTTAGTCCCTGCTGTCTAGCAGTTTTGAAAAGTGCTCCTTCTGCCTAAAACTGTTTTAGAAAATCCTTTCTTTTGTTTTTGTATTTAAAAACTGTACAAGTTGAATAATTAAACCAAGTTTTACCAAATGAGGTTACCAATTGTGAAACATGCCATGTTTAACTTAGTACAACACTGACTTATGCCAAAGATCAGTATACTACAGAGTACCTTCGGTTGTTCCAAAGGCACTAATTTGCTTCAGTATCCTGATTTTCTCTGATGTGGGGATTGCTTTGCCTCTCTGTCTTTTCCAATTTAGAATATGCATGCTGGATTACTTCAGGCCACAGAATCAAGGGTAAGGTGAGCAGAAATTGAGAGGAAGTCCTGCAGTACAGCTGAGGTCTCCTCAAACATGAGGTCTTTGCGATAACTGTGGTAAACAGCATGGAAGAAATGGGGCTGGAAGGGGGAGTGACTTGGCTTCCCTTGAAAAAGTGGGGCCCTACTCCACCCATCTTCTAATCCTTTAAATGGTTCTAGCTCTCGTCATTGAGTCTAACGATTTTGATCAAAAGTAACCAAAATTGTTCAGAGCTGAAGCTTCTGGAGTGGTACAGGTTTACCAAATCAGTTCCCAGGTTGTGACAAATGCTCTTGTGCATAGAGGAGATTCAGTAACTGAGTCGGGTTATAGTAGCTCATTCCTCATGCGCTGAGGAAGCATGTCAGGGTACAGTACTGGAATGTAGAAGGATGCCGTAGCTTCAGAGTTTTAGTCCCTTGGAAATTATTAAAGGTGCCTGCAGACAGCTGGTATTGGAGCTGCCCTTCTTGGAGCCAGTTTTGGCTGCATTTGAGTCTCTGCACCTTGCTTCATCGTATCTGTATGCACAAGGCAATACATGGCGTTACATACTGTGACATCAGGTAATCCTGGTGTTTCTTTGCATGGTGCTGTTTCAGTGAATCAGATTAGACCTGAGGCTTCTATTGTATGTTACTGAAACCTACAGAAAGCTGTGCTACTTGCTTGCCAGCTTATTGTCCTTTAAATACTTGGATGATGTGTCTATCTTTGCTAGATATTTTCATGTCTTTGTTAACTTTCATAATTCTGTACAAGGCTTCATAAGGCTTAATTTACCATGTAGGTCTTGTCTGGGCTTATAATAGGCTTGTTACCAAAATCAAAAAAAAAAAAAAAAAAAAAAAACAACAGGAAAGAAAACTCAAATATTTCTTTTCTGAATTTATTCTGCTTTCTACCTGCTTCTAAATTTAACTGGCATCTATCATATTTACCTTGGTGAGTGTATGTGTCTTGTTGCTTTTTCTTTTCCAATTTGTGGGGAGATGTAAAGAAGTCTTTTCTGTCCCATTTATCATTTTAAAGCTCAGCCTCGTGATACCCAGTATGCCTGTGGAAGGGCATGTCTGAGTGGTGCAGCTGCAATAGTGCAAGCGTTGGTTACATTTTTGTACACCTCAACATTTCTGACATGTTTATTTGTTTGTTGCAGAAAAGATACAGTTTGGCTGTTGGTCCTCCCAAAAAGGTTCCAAAAGTCAAGGGTGTCGAGTCTGCAGCGGTGCAAGCATTTCTCAGACGGAAAGAAGAAGAAAAAAGAAAAAAAGGTAACTGCTGAAGCAGCCCAAAATATATCCTGTGGAAGACTTTCATTGACTCTTTGAGACTTTGACCCTTTTTACAGGGCTCTTGCAAATAGGGTTTTACATTTGCTTCTGGAATTCATGCATATAACTGCTGATGCTGAAGGATAGCCAGGGGAAAAGTTAGGGCCAAGGATGTTTGCATGCTTTCCGAAGGATTTAAACGTTAATCAGCTACACTGGTATTTACTGGTGGAGACCAAGAAGTAACTAAGGTGGAGAGAGATTTCAGGAAAGCATCCTGAATTTTTGTTAACATTACTTTGAAATATTGTTTTTGTGTCAAAACCTGGTAAGAGTTCTTGCTGTTGTTGCTTTAGTCTGCTCTCTCAATAAAGCCCGAATTTTTAAATTGGTGTGGCAAAAGCTTTACCTAAGCCATGCGGTGTTTTTTTTCCATTTTTATTATAACCAAGTCTGATGGACAGGGTGGCCCAGGATTGTCTTTCTCTCCTGGGCCAGTTGTAAGCCAGCTCCTTATCCCTGCTGGCAGATCCAGCCAGAAGCAAGACTGAGCATGAAACACAGCTGTACTCACAGTGTACAGTCATGGCCATTGACAAATAAAGTAACATAGGCAGGGCATGGTGCCTTTACAGGTACCCATATAAAATGCAGCATGAGTAGCCCAATCCAGTTTCTAGGAAGTGATGCTCAGAAACCCCTTTTTCCCAGGTCTTTCTGGTATTTTGCCCCTATCCATGCCATTGGTCTCTCTAGTACGTAGCCCTCAGACCTCATTTTATTCACTAGCTAGTTCAGCATGCATTTTGTATGTGATCTGCTGACAAGACACTTAAGATAAAGAGCATATGCTTAAACAGATGCAGTGACCTGCAGCTTGCTCATCTGTCTGGCTGCTTCCCTCCCTCTCCTACACCTCAGCCTATTTTCCAGTTCTTATTCCCACACCCCAGTATTCATCCCTCCCTTTCCCCACCTTCACTTAAACATATGATATTAAATTTTGTACACTCAAAATTATTTTACTCAATCTTGGAACTCCTTCCCTTTCACCAGAGATCCCATATGTCCTGTGCCTTTTTACACAGTAAGTCTCCTTAGTTTGTATAGCATCTGACAGTGGCTTCTGTTGAATCACGTCAGCCGGTTTTGTAATAGCAGTAGTTGGGCATAATTATTCACCTTTGTTTGTGCAAGTACCTAATTCAGGTGGATCAGGCTCCCCTGTTGGCAGACCTGGATCACTTTCCGGTCTGTTGTGAATTGCTGTTAGCCAGATATCCTTAAGCTGTTGTCTTAAATGGTTTATCAGTTGGAAGAAACCGAAATAAACAGTAGTGCTTTTGCTTAACTTTCTCCTGATTTTCTTTTTACAGCATTGGAAGAAAAAAGAAAGAAAGAACAACTCTTGGCCAAACGTATTGAACTGAAACATGACAGGAAGGCACGAGCTATGGCCTCACGAACAAAGGATAACTTTTATGGCTATAACGGCATTCCTGTTGAAGAGAAGTCTAAAAAGAGGAGGACTTGTGAGAATGTTGCTCAGGCTCCAGAGGCTGAGTATGCAACAGAAGATGAAGCTGAGCAACTTGAATATGCTCAAACAGAATCTGAGCACGAGCAAGAGGAATATGATGAGAAACCATCCAAAGCTGCTCTAAAACCAAAGGCACCTCCCAAAAGTGCACCAGCACCTCTAAACTTTACAGATCTTCTGAGGCTTGCTGAAAAAAAACAATATGAACCAGTAGAAATAAAAGTAGTGAAAAAGATAGAAGAAAGACCCAGAACAGCAGAAGAATTGAGAGAGAGGGAGTATTTGGAACGCAAAAATAAAAGAGTAGAAATGCAGAAAAAGAAAAATGAGAAGGAGATTAAGAATACGGGAATATCCGGTTCTTCAAAAAAAGTGACTTCTCTGAAAGAATGTGGAAATGCAAAACTTAGCAAAAGCTCAGTAGATAAACATTCCTCTCCAAAAGGCAGCCTTTCTTCTATGAGCGGTACTGATAAGAAATCCAAAGCACCAGCATTGACTGAAAAACACTCCCGGTCGTCATCTTCCAGACCGAGCCAAATGGAAAAAGTAAAAACCTCTCAAAACGGTTCCTTAAAAAGCTCTACTGGTAGCAGTCATAGTAAATTACCTGTCAATGGCGTAGGAAAGTCTGGCTCAAGTTTCCCTGTGCAGTCCTCAAAACCATTGGCCAACGGCGCTCAGAGGTTACCCTCTGCTAAAGAATCCAGCCTGAAAAGGCCTGCCCATGCGAAAATGGGAAATGCCACAGCCCTCCAACACAACGTCAACTCCAGCGCAAAGCGAGCCAGCAGCAGCTTAGGAAAAGGAGGACCTGGGCATCCAGGTGGCGGTTCAAGCATAGGACCAGGGCGATCAGGCAGCAATTCTGGTGTGGGACCGGGCAGGCCGGGGAGTGGTTCAAGCCCAGGACCTCGGCGGCTGGGCAGCAGCTCAGCTGCAGGACCAGGAAGGCCAGGTGGCAGCTCAGGCGTGGGACCTGGAAGGCCGGGTGGCAGCTCAGGCACGGCCCCTGGGCGACCAGGGAGCAGCTCAGGTGCTGGACTGGGACGGCCAGGCGGCAGCGTGGGCAGCGGGCCAGGAAGGCCGGGCAGCAGCACAAACACAGGACCTGGGCGGCCGGGCAGCGGCACAGGAACAGGACCAGGAAGGCCGGGAGTCGGCCCCAGCACAGGACCTGGGCGGCCGGGCAGCGGCTTGGGCACTGGACCAGGAAGGCCAGGGGTCGGCCCGAGCACAGGACCTGGGCGCCCAGGCAGCAGCTCGGGAACAGGACCAGGAAGGCCGGGAGTCAGCCCAAACCCAGCACCTGGGCGACCGGGCTTGGGTACAGCTGTAAAGCCTAAGTGTACTGTTGTGTCAGAAACGATTTCTTCTAAAAACCTAGTCACAAGGCCTAGCAATGGACAGATAAATGGAATGAGACCTCTACAAGGGCATAGACCCATGTTCCGTTCACAAGGTATGAAGTTCCGTAGCAAATAAGTTTTTAACTTTATTTGTTCCATATTTTTGATAAGTCGGAGTTGAGGTCACTGGGGGTCTTTGGCAGTTGTAGATGCAATAAGGAAGACTTGCACAAAATAACATTTGTCTTTTAAAGAGTGTATTTAACAGTGGAATACTTCTTTTTGCTTTGCAATTTGTTTTCACCCCTTCTTATATACCTTGAAAGGAGGACCTGGGCTGTAAGGTCTTGATGAAAGAAAGCTAAGCAACCTGTGGTGGATGGTGGGATATGGATGGTTTTAAAGGAAAAGAATTAAAGGATTCACTTCCTGCATTACTCAACTATTCTTAGCCTTTAAAAATTTAGTAAATAAGATGTTTTAAATAACAGATGCTTAAAGCAGCACATGGAAACTGAAACACAGCAAACCTGCAACTGTTAGTTGAGTGCTTGGGGAAATTTGCCTTATCAGTGACTAGCAGGAGCAAGCAGTATGTGCTCTAGTAGTTAGTACCAGAAAACCCTGACAAAGAACATAGACTTCTGTCTGGTAGTTTGCTCAGGATGCAGTTGATGATACTGATAAGTGATCTTCTACTGCACAGCATAGAGGATGTACTTCCTTTCTGTGAACTTGAGAATTGCTAATTAGCTTGAGGCAGAAGTTTTCTACTTGGAAGCCCAGAGTTAATAAAATGTATGTGCCCAAAGTACAGCAAGGAGAAGTACTTTTAAGGTAATGGTATGTTAATGTTAATTAATCATTTTTTTATTCCCTTGTCATTAAGGTATTGGGAGACCACCTATTGGTTACAAAAGACAAATAGATGACGATGATGATGACGATGAATACGACTCTGAAATGGATGATTTCATTGAAGATGAAGGCGAACCCCAAGAAGAAATATCAAAGCATATTCGGGAGATATTTGGATATGACCGGAAAAGGTACAAGAAATGTAAACTTTAAGCTATTGCAAAGCAAGCAACAGAACAACAAAGATGACTATAGTTCAATGAATAAAAACTTTGGAAATAAGTGCTCATATCAAAAAATGTTTTGTTTTGTTTTTTTTTTTGCATTGCAGAAATTTAATGAGCGTTAGAGCCCCTTCTGTGCAGAAGGGATTTTGACTTTTTACACTGCTTGCTATGCTGGGGCAATAATATTTGTGGAGCAATATTTGATGCAAACAGGACATAATCTATGAACAACATGGCTTCTACAGCTTCTCACCTAACTAATCCATAGTAACTCCTTCCTATCATAAGGTGTTAAAATGCTTCCTATGGCAGTGGGTATTTGAGAATTCATGAACGTAGCTGCCTGAAAATGAACTGGTAAATGCAAGAGTGTTAACAGTTCTCTAAGAGGATCTAAGGTGGCATATTTGTATGTCTAGGAACTGTGGGAAAAAGAAGACTGTGGTTTATTTAAATGCTTTCTTCATGTCTGACTAAGGTATAAGAAAGTAAGCATTTTAAAGACTTGTAAGTTAGATTCTTTCAAACTGTTAATGAAACCATATGTGGCAAGGTAATTTTTCTTTTTAAAAGGATGTGACTTCATAATTGAACTGTGCATGATGGTATTTTTCTGTGTGCTAAACACTAATATTTAATTTCCAGATACAAAGATGAAAGTGACTATGCCTTACGTTACATGGAGAGCAGCTGGAGAGAGCAACAGAAAGAAGAAGCTAGGAGGTATGCTTGGATTTAAAATAGAAATTGGGAGATTTGTTTGTTTATTTTCTGAGTCATGGGGATATTTACTGCTTTTTCGTAATGGAGGCAAATAAGTCTTTACATTTTTAATAGGAAAGCTTAGATAGAAGATGAAGCTCAGCCAACCAGAGCGCCCATGGAATAGTGGGTAAAAAGTTCTGTATGTTCATTCTATGCATTCAATGCATCACAAATTTTGCTAGTAGAAATTTTACCAACTTAGTCCAAAAAGTCTTCCTGCAAATACTTTGAATTCTGACTGAAATGACAAACCCTTCAATTTGTCCCAGGCATGTTTTTTTTTGCTAGTTCTTGAGGACTAGAAAAAGATTTGTCTTGATCTATATAAATGTGTGGTTTGTGTGCGCATACATATATAAAGAAGGCTCTGACACACATCTGTAACCAACAATTTCAAAAATGAAGACTAGGCTTTCTTATTGGTTTTGGCCTATAGACGTGTGCAATTCTTAAATAGCTATTACAAAACTTGGCATTCAAAAACTGATCCTTTTTTTTTTCCATGCCTGGTGGAAGATGTCTGCAGTGCCATTACCAAAGTTTTGTAAATGTTATGGAAGTTTTTTTATAGGTAATGGAAAATACTGGAAATATACAGTCAAAATTCTTTTAATTTTTTTTTATATTTTTCATGGGGTGCCTCAAGTACTGTAAACTTGCATCTTTTTAAAGTTATAGTCAGTGTCCTTATTCGTTCCTACTCTTACAAATAGCTGCAGCTCATGCAAAGCTGTAGTCTCTTAAATGGAGAAATAACTGGAATTTTACAGTTATACTGCTATTTACTGAATTCTGCATTGAAGACCTAGAGTGTGGTTCTGCAAAGCTTAGTACCTCACTAACTTTTAACTACACGTGCTAACGTAAAAGAAGAAACGAGGAATCTGAGTAAAACAGTAACTATTTCCTGTCCTTGGCTATTTTTCACTGAGTTTGGTTAAAAGTTTAACCTTTGATGTGAGGAGCTTTTTTTCTAATCAAACAAGCCCACTAAAATTACTGAATTCTAAGCTGAAATGGAAAATGATGCTTCAAGCCAGAGATTGATCACACAGATTCTTGTTGTTTGCTCTCTTAATCCGGATTCTGCAGTTTCCTGCATTCATTGGCTTCCCTCTGCTTGTTTAGGCATAAAATCCTTTTTAGAGCCTGTTCTGGAGCAGTTACCCCAGAGCAGCTGAATGATGACAGATGGTCAATAGTTGACCCTGATATATTTTGGTGCAAACTGCCTTATGCTGCTTCACGTTGAGCTGTGGATGCTCAAAGGCTCTGAGTAGGCCTGCAAACCAGGCAGGGACTGATCACAAAACAGTAGCTCTGTGGCACCCATTGCTAGTATCACACCGGCAAGATTATCCATTGAGGAGGAGGTCAGTGACCGCAGATACTGTTCTCAGTATCTCTTTCAACATACTGACTTCTAGGAAGTTGAAGGAACTGCACAAGGACATAGCCAGAACATGCTCTGTTCAGCAGCATCTCTTCCCTCTGCCTGCTCCCAAGTCCAGGCAGCTAGCTGGACTGAGGGTAAGGCAGTGTCATTCATGGAGATGTCTCAAGTCAGGAAGTTGCCACGAAATCTCTTACTTGTTTGACGGATCCGCTCTCAGTCTTGCCAGTGAAAAAGGTGTAGGCGGTCCTCAGAAAAGCTGATCTGAGTCAGTCCTGATATGAATTGCATGTAAGAGTTACTTTGGCAAGAATTGATGGATGTTTCGGCAGCTTCTTGTCAAAAAAGAATGACCTTTCTTAGCCAAACTTTTTTTTTATAACGGTCATTTCTTTGAAGAAAACTTTATTTTCCTTCAAAGGATTTGGTTCTGCTCTAACGATGAGACTTTTTGGGGTATATTCTTTCTTTTCTTAAACTGTATTCTTACTGTAATTGAAGAAAACTTACAATTGTTGAACTGATCTAAATCTTTGTTGCTCAAATCAGTTGTAATTTAGAATTTCTTTTCTTGGGGGAGAAGACAAATTGCATGTTTCTTGAGTAGCAGTTTGTAAAGGCTTTCAACTTATTTGGCAGCTTGAGACTCGGTGTTCAAGAAGACCTAGAAGAATTGAGACGGGAAGAGGAAGAACTAAAACGCAAGAGACAGTCTAAGAAGCTGAGGACACGTTAACTGACTTATGGTGTTGACTTCTTTCATTTTTCTGCTACCCTCTGCCTCCATACATCTCTTATTCTACTTCAGTTTCCATTTGCTTGTTAGAGGGCAAAAGAATATGTTAAAGGGATGAAAGAACTGAAAAATAAAGGCTTTAGTTTGACTTAAATAAGATATTTATTTTTAATACTGCCAGGGTTGATTTTTTTCTATGAAGAAATTAATGCACTAATGCATATTATTAAGTAGAAGAAAATTAATTTCCATTGATGAAATCAGTTCAGGATGCCAGCAGAAATATTGACTAGCTATGCACTGACTTGGAACTGTGTGGGCCCATATACAAGTAAACCAATTTTGCATTCACTTGAAAGGAAGGTATAGCATTCTTGTTCCCTGATTATTATTATTTTTTTTTTTGAGATGTAGAGAAATTGCTTTATATCCTGCTTTGTCTCCTGAGTTGGGCCTCAAAGTATTGAAATGTTATCTTCTGTACAGAAGCGGCTTGGGTGTAAATTCAGCCATTGCCACAAATGTTCAAAGCAATAAAGTGCTTTATACTTTCTGATGACTCATAAACAATAACTAAACTAGCACCCTCTTATTTCTGAACAGGAAAGTGCACGTCACTTGCAAAAATTGCACAGTTATGGTTGCAACCCAAAGGTTAGGCTGGCTTTTGCTGTGTCTGGAATTTCAATGCCAATCAAATTCAGTATGATAAATACACATCCCGAAAATAGGAATTTCTAGTGTTCGTATGTAACCTGTGCTTTTGTGCTCAAGCACATGCTTGGGAGTTCCCTTTCTTCCCTGTCAATCTTCATGTTTGTCTAACAGCTTCTGTTGCTTTTACAAGTTGTGTGCAGTGCTTGTGGTTTTTTCTTGCATTAAGCATCAGGTGTGTTTAGTGATTTGAAATGTGGAGTAGTTATTTATCTAATCAGGTTTGCTATTTGGAAAGCATACTTCCAAAGTATTTTCAGCTCTCTGAAATCAATAACTTCATATTAACTAGTGAGTCCTTCTGAGTAACTTAATCAAGCCAAAAATCTAAAATGCATGTCAGGAGAGTTCGTTCTGTTACCTAATGCCCATATTTGCACATTATTTCTAGCTATGCACTCAAAGATTAACTGAATTTGTTTACTATCAACACCGGGTTCATTTAAATCAATAGGGGTTGTATTTGAGAGTCTGAAGCTCAAACCTGGTGTTGCAGCTACTTTGATTCCCATGGCTGCCCTTTGAAAACTCACCAGTATCACCACTCAGCTTTGCCTCAAGCTCCAAGACTTCATTGATAAAGACCTCCAGCTTTAGCTGCTGAGGCTATGTTCTAATACCAGAAGTATTTAGAAAAGTGTGAAAAAGGGTTTGGGGTGTAAGTTGGGGAAAAAAAAAAAAAGGAAAAATCAATGAGTAGAAAAATAATGAAGGAACCTTTCCTACCAGAGTGCTGTTTGTGTTCTTCCTGGAAAGAGTTCAGACAGCAACCCATAAGGAACAATCTTGGAAGCTGCTGAAGTTTACACATCTGACTCTTAATGAGAGAAAAAACAATTTGCCTTTTTTAAGACATTTTCTGTTGATGGTGTAGCATTTCACTGCCTTAGCAAAACACTGACATAAGCTATTGGGATGGATTCTATAAACTAATTCAGTATTAACTGTCAGGGAGCCCAGATGATAACCATCATTGCTCCTCTGTATTTTTTTTTAACTAACAAAAATTGTTTCTCAGTGTATACACTTGAGACCATTCAAGATAGTGTAATCTCAGTGCTTGTCTAAAAGTGTGTTGTATTCACTCTGCTTAATGGGACCATCTGAAATTTCCTGTTGTAGCTCCTAGAATTACCCAAATGACCTCTGGGACCATCATCAAGTTGTGTTTTTGTTTTTTTTTTTTTTTTGTGTGGTGTCTTAGTTTTGTTTGTTTGTTTGTTTTTGTGTTTTTTTTTATTTTAATCTTTTTAGCTGGAGAAAGGCTCTAGGTCTGTCAACCCAGACAACTCTATCAGTTGCAAGCAATTTCCTGCCTGGTTGGAAAAAGTCTTGTGTGAAGCAAAAGAACCATAGTGATTCAGAATTGGTTCAGTTTGGAATTAAATCTGCATTTCAGATAAATATAGGTTAAATAAATCCTAATTATTTCATCATTTTGTACACAGTTAAATTTCCTAATCTGTAAAGCACTTTGTCATTGGTCTTTTAGATGGTGACTGGAATGTACTCTGCTCTGCCAGCCTCCCTAAGACACTGTATAACTTTTCTTCGCACAATAATAATTGCTTAATTTTGTTTGTTTAATATGAAAAATTATTTAAGGACATGTTTGTAATTTTACAATCAAGAAGTACTTTCTCATAATTGGCATGGGATACTAATGCTTCTCAAATTTTGTACAATGTTTGGGTTTTAATGTTTGCATTTGCTGCATCTTTGTAAATCGTCTAGGAAGGACCTTGTATCCAAAAACATGTTTGCTGATTTCCAGATTAATATTATTAATCTAATGAGTACTTCAGTACTCATCCAAAGTGCATCAGAATTTGAAGTTGAGAAAACCTGAAAGAATGCTTATATTGGTTTATGAGGATCTAATGATTTAATTGTATGTAATGAAATTCTGGTTTGGTTTTTAGATTTTAATTCACTGTTTGACAATGTGCCTTTTATACTAAATTGTGTCAAAAAATAATGAATGTAGGAGTATAAAAAGGTTGGTCAGTTTCTGCTATCTCAGATATTATATCCTTAAACTTGATAGTGTGAAATGGTGACATACTTTGCATAAAACCCTTCCAGGTCTGGCTTTGATTGCACAATTACAGTAGCTACTTCTTTACTGATAACGCTAAATCAAATGAAGGGCACTTTCTATTGATGACTACTTTTTGAAAATGTCTTGTATTTACACTTGAGCTGTGTTTCACTTTACAGCGGTCTTTTTGGAGGCCAGGGTTTTGCATATCACAGGAAGCCTTACTGTGCAACTCTGTGCTGTGCATAAAATAAAAATCTTTCAAGAAGTATATGAGATCTCTATGGAAATCTGGATTTATTTTTGTGTAAAGCCCAAAATATTGTCCAGGAAAACTAATTTTCTATTTTTTTTGCATTTTGTAACATAATCTAGTAGCTGATGCATATTTCTAGATATAGTGTGCATATTTCTGGAGACCAAAACATGTCAGAAAGAAAATAAATATATGCAGAGACTGGTGTTTAAGTTGTGATGAATGTACTTCTATTTATTTTGGTGAGTGGGTGTGATGCAATATTAAAGTGTTAGTGTGTAAATAAGGGTGCTTCTAGTTTTAGCCAATGGTTTTCTTTGGGGATATCAGTTGTGCACAATGTCTTTTTACACAATGTGACAAATCAGGTTTAAAAACGTACATAGCTTAACTGTTTTCTGGTGCTGTCAAGAAAGTGTATACTTTTGCACACACCAAATGCATATAAAAGTTTTGCAGAGTATGTATACAATAAATTACAGGCATTAAACATTTCACTGCTATTTTTCAGTGGTTTCCTTTATGGAAGACTTTTCAGATTGTTTTCTGCTGTTTTCCTCAGAGATGTCACATAAAACAGCATTAGGCTGAATGTTCTCCAAGAAAAATTCTTCTCTTGTTCTCATGCAGCCAGCAAGAATGTATGAAAAATTGATGGAGTTGCTTACCACTCAGAAAAGAGCTGAAATTCATTGCTGTCTCCTACAGTTTAGTCTTCTAACCTAATTTATATTTGAAGGAAGGAACATGCATTTCAGAATGGTAATATAAACAAGTGTACAAGCTGCCTTTCATCTCTTCCAATGGGAGTACGGTGTTTCATCCTGCAGTTTCATATGCAGCATCCTTCTCGGATTCTTCTATTCCCATGTGAGAAACCTGAACCTCCTCTACTGCTCTCTGCTGTGCAACTGTTTACTGCTTTGACAGTTGGAGGTAAATAACAATGATAGTTCTGATTAGCTAGCACTGTGAACTACTTCCAAATAGATAAATGAATACCCATCATCAAATTGAGCCCATCTGCCCCTCTTTCCTTGAAAAGGGAACACTTGCACACTGTTGTGCTTAATATATATATATGTGTATGTGCATATATAAAGTCACTTAGCATTTGATTGGTGCCCAACCAGTGCTCTGCTTTGCAGGCATGAAATCTTAGCCTGTTTGGTCTTACCTTGTATGGAATCCCCCTGAGATTTTTCATGCACCTTCCTAGTTCTAATCAGTCATTATTTTAAAGCAAATATATTCTGGTCAGGCAGATGGAAATTTTACATTGAGTTGTCTTAATCTGGCCAATAAAGCTATACCTCTCTGGAAGCAAGGAAAGTATTTTATTCAGATTAAAAATAATAATAATAAATAATTTAAAAAAAAACAAACAAAACTGAGGGCAGTTTTTAGTTTTAATTTTAAATAACATTTTAATTCCATAAGGCAGAACTGTGATTTAGTCATCCAATAAATGTTCTTTTACCTACTAGTTTAAATGCACATGGAAACATTTATTTTTCCACGAACCTAGGAATCCAAAAAAATTCTGACATACCATGGTTAACGTACTTTGTGGGATTAAACTGAAAACAGAAAAGGTTCCTGAGGTAGTAATACACATCCCTAATTTAGTTCTAATCTCTCTGCTTGCTTTTCCCAAACCAGCTGATGCCTAATTTCCTTTGGGGATTTTCTCTATTCAAATGCAAGTTTTTTGTGAGTCTTTGTTTTTACCTATATCCTTTTCCCCACATCGACAAATTTATTGTTTTTTTTTGTTTGTTTGTTTGTTTTTTACCTTGAATGTAACATCTGCCCACCTTCTCTGTGTTACTAAGTTTGAGAAAAGGCTCATCTGATGTCGTCCCCTATCATACCATGCGTGAATGCAGCAACTGACAACTTAAAGAGAATTAAGAGCTTTGGTTTTGTTCCTTTTTCCTTAGTAAAGGCATGGGCTTGCTTCTGACTTGAAAAATACTTAATGAGGACAGTGTTGCAGGTTTTATAATACACTCAGAATAAGAGTGTATATGTAATCATGCTGAGCATAAGAGGATGTTTTTCAGTGCCTTGGCTATACTCCTCAACATTTTAACCTCTTTTGTGGACTTATTTATGGAAAGGTAACTAGCTTCCTTGAAGGATGCAACAAAGGATTTATAATGGTTGCTCTGAGTTTGTCAACTCTCTGTCACAATAATTCTCCCTGCCAGCTTCTTCTTTTTTGGTCTCAGCATATTCAGTTCTTGTTCTGACAAAGTGGTGTATATGTTAGAGCAGTACACCTATTGGTTGACCTGCTGCCCTGAAACTGATAAAGGACTCTGCTTATAATTGCTTTTTGTACAGGAGAGACACTAACAGGAGGCAAACTGCTCTATCCAGGTCTTTATTTTTATGGAGTGTGCAGGAATTTTGTTCCTGAGACCTCTATGGGGGTGTAAAATATGACTGTCACTGATGTATAGACAGCCTGGTCATGCAAGGTGAATCTTCAGAGTTCAGGCAGAGCGACGAGTTCAGGCAGAGCGACACACTCACTAACAGCCCTCTTCCCCCAACCACAGTGTGCAAACCAGCAAACCCCTTATTCATATCACTTCTGCTTCTGTGCTGTGTGTACAAAGGGAAGGCAGCGAAGGCAGCATGCAGGAAAAATGAACCGTTTTGTGGAAGACTGATTGATGCCTCGTGCAGTTGGCAAAGAAGTCTGAAGTTGTGTGAAACTGCTGGTTAAAATGCAGTCTTGGCTGGATTGTGCTTTTAAACTGATAGATAATGGAACAGTGATAAAATGAGCTAGTCATAGTATGGATTGTGCTCAGATCACATGGTTGTCCAGAACAAAGGTGAACAGTGAGATAAATGATGATTTTACTTGTGATATGTCCAGAGCTAAAGCCGGTTTGATGGGTTTTGTCAGGAAGCTGTTCCCCTGCCACTTGCAGTGTACTTAGTCTTCATTTATTCCCAGACCTTCAGTATCTGGGATGATCACAGAAGTATACCTGAGAAGTGGAAAATATTGCACATGCCATGTAGCTTCTGTAACTTTTAATTTCTGTTCCATTACTCTTAATTTGGACAGCTTGTTATAGCATGGTTTTCTCTACTGGAGAAAGGTTCCTGACAACCTTTTCCTTTGGCTTTACTCAAAGGTGGCACAGAAATAGAGAATGCCCAAGGTTAACCAGAAGATTAAGGCCAGTGTCTGAAGTATGACATTTTAGGACACAGAAGATGATGCATTTTTCCTCTTATGTAAAACTGAATAAAATTCACAGGCCATGTGCAGTACAACTAGCTCCATGTTCCAGGAGCCTCTCATTTTATTTTGCTCTCTCCCTCAGCACCTGTGAAACCACAGCTTATTTTCTGTCTAACCGTCCATGTCTTCTATCAAGTCTCAAAGAAAATATCTCAGTATTACACACTTAGTGCTGACAAAGTGCTGTTTTTGAATACACAGGGCAAGCTTTTATGGAGATAGGAGCTCTTAATTTATTAAGAGTTTGATATATTGGGTGCCTGCTCAATAAATACCAGTTTAAGGAAGTTGCTGAAGCTCAATTGGTAGTAATATATGCAAAATGCTATGGGCATACTTAGAAGAACACAGTATTACCAGTCCCGCTGGCTTTACCAGATGATTTGTGTTTAAAGTAAATGTGCATGTGAAAGCTTTTCTAGAGCAGAGACAGTGCTGGATAATGTAAGAGCACTGTGGTGGAGACTTGCATATGAGCTGCTGGGCAGGCAGATACCATTTACTGTCTTGAAACCACCCACATACGGCTTCAAGATGGGGCTAAGGCAAGGTGTGTTTATCTTCAGAACTGCATTTACCAGAACACCCCAGTTGCTCTTGGAGCTATCAGTAGCTCTCCAGCTGGCCAAATTCAACCTCACTATCCCCAGCACTTCTGGCCTGTGTCATACTGCAGTGAGTGTGTATACATACAGCAATGAAGCCAATAACCTGCAGAAAACATCTCTAGGAATGGCAATTATACTGCTAGCTTTCTTTTTGCTTAATACAGTGGGAGGTGCTGGGTTAGGGAAGTCAGGAGCTAGCTTCCAAAGCTGAAATACAGAAGGGAATTTCAGTAATGAAAAGGTAGAAATCAAGTCTTTAACCTGTGCAACCTGGTATAACTACTGATTTAAATTAAAACTATAATTTTCATCAGATCAGGTTGGGCTTATAATAAGACTCTGCCATCTTTTGGAGAAGTATTTTTCTTAAGCTGCCTCTCTGGGAGCTTCTGCTCTGTATGTCAAGAAGCACTTTTGGAAATGGCAACCTGTGAGATGATGTGGGGGAGGAACTGCTGGAGGGTGGTGTGTGGGGTAGCAAGGCCATTATCTGTGTGGGCAGAACACCAGCTTGCTAGGAAGATATTTAATCACTGCAAGATTAGCTGGCAGTAGGATATGTAATTCAATATGGAGTTACTCCTTGCATATTATGTGTAGAGCAGATTTTGAGTCAGAAGGCACAGGCACTGTTCTGAATTTAAAGAAGAGTTCAGACAGTGAATATCAAGAAATCTGGCCCTGTAGTTTGGGTGCATGCTTAGTCAGGGATGACCTGTAAGCCTCACAATGATGGTGTACTACTCAGCCTTGCAATGACAGTGGTGTGTCACTACCAAGGGTATATTGTTACTGTTCCAGTTTCTACCATTATTTTAGCTATATTGCACAAAGTGCTACCAAGTGTCTAACCAAGATTCTGTCACCACGTGTCTAATACTACATATCTTTCAGATTTGCCTAGTTGTCTTTACAGTGAAATATAGAGAAATTAAATAATTAAATTTTTGAGACAAAAAATTTGAAAGGATCTTATTCTAAACCATTAGCCTCTGCTAGCATCTTTGTGAATGAAAGTGATTTTCAAGATGTCTTTTAGAAGTGTTTAGGAGAATGTTCATGCAGATCATTCTGTAACAGCTCATCTTGGGATTCACCATATTCTACCCTTCAAAAAAGTACACAGGCTTCAAGTCTGTGAGGCTGTCATAAAGGTAACTGTTTTATACGTCCCAGTCCAGAGTTCTCAGGTCACGATTCATCCTGCCACAAAACCCAAGTGGCCAAGGATACCTCTGACTTTGTAGAGAGGCTCTTTACCATAGCATTTTTGTAGGGCTTGGGGACTTGCTTGCTGTTGCCATTTTGTGCATTTTGCCCTTTGGTTGCTCTCCTG